TAACCACGCAGAAGAAATCTGCCGAACTTTCAGTTTCATCTGTTCAACTCAACCAATCACAGCACCGCTGTTCACATCCATTTCCCTTTCAGCAGCCAAGTCTGGATGGCGGGGCACTCCAAACGCCCCCTCAACCACGCGCGGGTCGCCGATCCCCCCTTTCCATCGGACTTGTTCTTCACTTTTCCCTCCCCAACTTCTTGTTAGACTCCCGCTTCGTGTCCGCTCTTCCCCCCCTGCCTCCCCCCGAAATCTCTCTCGACCACACAAATCACAAAATTATCAGCTGTTCAAAGAAATGAATCTGCCCAGCCCACACAACCGCCAGCAAAAAGTGCTGCCGCTGCACCTCGTATTCCGCAACCTCCAATCCACTCTCGCTGCTTCTGCCGTGTCTCACCCCACGTTCACTCCCTCTTCTGCTGTGCGGTGTGTGCGGCTCTGCCTGCCTGCCTGTCGGGGAGCTCTCACTCACACCGCACACTCCGTCGCAAGCAGGGCTGTCGATTGGTTTGGAGCCAGAACTTGAGAGGCAGAGGTGCCCAAAAAGCTGCCCTGAAATTAACGGGCTGAGAGCAAACCTGGCACTTGAAATCAGGGCTACCAGCTTTTTTGCACTTTCGCTAAGGAAACCCCACATCTCTTCGGGTCCGTTATCTTAGGCAAACTACTAAGAGCCAGCTAAGCAATAGGCTGAGTTACGAAACATGTCGATGGATTTGACAGGGATGGGAAAAGTAGGGGAATGGCTGGGAGGAGGCGAGTGGACTGGTGAGGGAATGGAAGGGAGGGAGGTATTAGTATGGGACGATTAGGGCTAGCTGCGGGATCTGCACTTGAAATCCGGGTTAGGCCCACAACCAGCACTTAACGGGGACAGGCTGCCCTCAAATCCAACCCTTAAACTTCGGAAGCTGGGCCGAACCCAACCCTTAATGTTCAGGGCATTAAGGGCATTTGCCCTTGAATCGTCAGCCCTGGTCGCAAGCAGACCTTATAGTCGAACCAGCCTTTTTCTGTGCCAGCGTGTCGCACTTTTTCTCAACACAGCACCCTCGCCCTATAACACATCCGCATCGTTCTTGGTTCACAGCCACTTCGGACCATCCTAAGCTTTCTATTACGACTTCCTACTCCAGAATTCGAGTCTCTGCTAACCGAATATTATACGAGCGTAGCGCTGAGTGAGTCAGACTCTGTTTGTTCCACTGGCGAGCCGCGACTGAGAAGCAATATTGCAAGAAATGGCGGCCGTTGCGCAGCCACAGATGCCTGTTTTTGAAACCCACGCCGGAGACCCTGGAATTCGCCTGTTCGGTCGGACAATAGAGGCCACAACCAGCCAGAGCGACTCTCCTCGCGCGTCGTTGTCTGGCGAATCGAGACGGACTAATGGCGGACGGGAGGATGACACTGCCGAAACTGCCGGATCTTCCGCCGTCAATTCCGCAGCCTCACAGCAGCAATGCCGCGGACTTGTAAGTATCTTTATAGATTACCGCTTGCGTACAGGTGAAGGCATCTTCATATATTTGTCGGCTTATCTGCATCTGATTATCCAATTTCTGAGACTGACCCATTTTTCCGTCTTCTCATCTTATTCTGTCCTCGATATGCGCAGGATGCGATACTAGCCGCCGCAATGGAGGGCCAGGGAGCGACCGGCAAACCAAAGCAAGCCCGCATCGCAAGTTGCTCGAGCATGAAAAGCCAAGTCGTCGACGAGCCGCGCGCAGGAAACGGCGCGACGGAAGGCGAGGATGACAATTGCGAGGGCAACGCGGGATGCAGAAAGCATTCGGCAATTGCGCACGCAGAGCAAGATAAGCACAGCAATGGCGCCGGCGCCGGGGATCAGCACAGCGATAGCGACGGGGCCGGGGATAGCGGCGTGGACGAGCCAACGGAGCAGGGACAGCCGGGGCAGGCGCAACTAGTGCAGGCGCAAGCGCAATTGGCGCAGCCAACGACGGGGGCTCAGGAGCAGGCGGCTTTCGAAGGTGCGGACGGGCAGGAGGAGCAGCAGCAGCCGCAATTGGAGCAGCAAGAGCAGCAGTCGCTGAAGCGGCCAACCAAGAAGCTTCCTTGCCCGCGATGCGCGAGTATGGATACTAAGTTCTGCTACTACAACAACTACAACGCATCGCAGCCGCGCCACTTCTGCAAGGGCTGCCAGCGCTACTGGACCGCCGGCGGAACGCTCCGCAACGTCCCCGTCGGCTCCGGCCGCCGGAAGGGCAAGATTCCTGCGGGCGCCGCCACCGCCACCGCCGTTGCCGGCTCCCCGGGGAATCAACAGCCGACGGCCGGTCTCCCGCCGGCCGGTGGGGCTGTTTCCGGCCCATTTGGCTTCTGTCCGTCAATTGGTCGCAGCTGTAGCCCAGACGGCAGCAGCGTCACTGGATTAACCGGATTGACTGGATTGACCGGCGGAATGGCGAGTCCGGGGGCAGAAGTGCTGAGTATGAGCTCCCCCGCCGTTGCTGCCGCAGCCGCTGCCGCCGCAATGGCCGCCGCGTCTGCCGCCGCAGCCGTCGCGGGGTCTTCTCGGTGGGGCATGGATCCCGCTGTTGCTGCGACGGACGCGGGTTCGAATCCGTTCGCTGCCGCCTTACCACACGGCCAGTTTGTGCCGTCTAATCTGCCGACGCATCTGCCGGCGCATCTGCCGGCGCACTTGCCTCCGCACATGGCGGTCGACAGCAGCGCCGCTCTCCGCCAAATGGGTCTTCCCTCCGCCTTTTCCGCCCCCACCAGCGCAACTTTCGCCGCGCCGCCTGCTGCGCCCGGCGCGCAGGCTCCAGGCGGGATGGCGGGAAACCTGGCGGGTTTGGCGGCGCTTTATCCGTGGAGATTCGGTGGAGTTCCCTTCACGGCGGGCCAGGCTCCCGCCGAGGCTCCGCTTTCTCTCCCCGGACTCCCCAACTTGCCAGCGCCTTCCGCGTTCGGCGGTTTGGCGCGTGGAAGCCCGTCCGCCTTCTGCCCCTCGACAACAGCTGCACCAAGTAGCGCTCCTGGCGCGAGCGTGAGCGTGAGCGCAGGCCCTTCCGCGCATGCTCCGTTCCCCATCTCCGCGCCCGTGCCTTCCGCCTGGTCCCCGTACATGGGGCCATACCCTCCCGCATTCGCCCCTCTTCATCCCATGTCCGCGCAGCATCCGCCTGGTGCTCCCCCCTTCGCTCCGCCTTTCAACGTGCCTGCCTTTCCACCTGGAGCGCTTGCTCCCTGGTCCTCCGCGGGTTTTGCCCATCCGCCACTCCCCCACCCCGCGCAGCTTCCGCCGCACCCGTCCATGGACCTTTCCCGCCCATCGGAAGTGAATTTCCCCGCGTCCGCGCAGTCGAGTGTGAAGAGGGGGAGGGAGGTCGAGGGGAATGCGAGCGGGGCTGATGGCGCAGTGGACTTTTTGAACAAGCGGCAACGAGAGTGCTGAGGGGGGTTTGCTTACGGTTCAGACCGGTTCAAAGCGCACCTCAAGTGCGCTGCTGTAACAGTAGTGTGCAAAGGGACGCCTGACAGGCTAATACTTACAATAGGTGGTTTGCTAAATAAGGTCAGTTAGTGTGCTTTTGGTAAATGCTGTTTGTGACACTGTTAACCTGGAAAGGGTTTTTGGCCAATAAACATATGCAAGCTTGTCAAATTCCAGCCAATTCCCATCAATGTGCAGACGGTGGATCCATACATGTGAACAAGTCTCTTTTAGGAGCAAATATCATCAACTCAAATTTCCCGCAAGCTGTCTGTCGACCCTCTCTATCGCCCGCCCTTGCCACTCGGAACACCTCGTGTTTTACCCGACCCCACTCTAGTGCTGCAGGCACACACAGTCGTGTTTTGAGTCAACTCAAAACACGAATCAAATCAAATCTCCCGCAAGCTGTCTGGCGACCCTCTCTAATGCCCTTGCCACCCGGAACACCTCATGCTGTACCCGGCCCCAGTCCGGTGCTGCAGGCACATAGAGACGAGACGAGACAGATTGCCAAAGGCAGAAGAGACGGCGCAGGATGGAGTGGTTCAAGAGAAAGAGTACTACCAGCAGAAGCGTCCCAATGGAGAGGTATGTATGGCACGCATGGCACGCACGGCATGTATGGCATGTATGGTATGTCTGGCACGCATGGTATGTATGGCATGTATGGTATGTATGGCATGGATGGTATGTATGGCATGCATGGTATGTATGGCATGAATGGTATGTATGGCATGCATGGTATGTATGGCATGGAAGGTATGTATGGCATGCATGGTATGTATGGCATGGATGGTATGTATGGCACGCATGGTACGTATGGCATGGATGGTATGTATGGCATGCATGGTATGTATGGCATGGATGGTATGTATGGCATGCATGGTATGTATGGCATGGATGGTATGCATGGCATGAATGGTATGTATGGCATGGATGGTATGTATGGCATGGATGGTATGTATGGCATGGATGGTATGTATGGCATGCATGGTATGTATGGCATGGATGGTATGTATGGCATGCATGGTATGTATGGCATGGATGGTATGCATGGCATGCATGGTATGTATGGCATGCATGGTATGTATGGCATGGATGGTATGTATGGCATGGATGGTATGTATGGCATGCATGGTATGTATGGCATGAATGGTATGTATGGCATGCATGGTATGTATGGCATGGATGGTATGTATGGCATGCATGGTATGTATGGCATGGATGGTATGCATGGCATGCATGGTATGTATGGCATGGATGGTATGTATGGCATGGATGGTATGTATGGCATGGATGGTATATATGGCATGCATGGTATGTATGGCATGGATGGTATGTATGGCATGCATGGTATGTATGGCATGGATGGTATGCATGGCATGCATGGTATGCATGGCATGCATGGTATGTATGGCATGGATGGTATGTATGGCATGGATGGTATGTATGGCATGGATGGTATGTATGGCATGCATGGTATGTATGGCATGAATGGTATGTATGGCATGCATGGCATTCATACCAGATGTTGCTCCACCACCCCTGGTTGCGTCCTGTAGCGTGTCGGCCACTGAAGGGAAGGCCACTGACCCATAGTCGTTGGCACGACTGGGACCATACACCTGGCAGGGGGAAGGGAGCAGGGGGAGAGGGAGAGAGGGCAGGGCGCGAGGGCTGAGAGAAGGCCACTGACCCATAGTCGTTGGCCCGGCTGGGCCGTACGCCTGATCCTCTGACATTTTCCAGTGAGCAGCAGCACTTAGGTTCAGGCTCAAGCAAGTAGGAAAAAAAAACAGTGTAAACCGGAGTCTGTGAAATTGGAGTCAGTGAAACCGGAGCCATCAGCCCTCATCAGCCACCATCAGCCCCCATCACCCCTCCACACATACGCATACTCACCATGTGCCAGGGCGCAACAGCAGTACCATCACCCCCCATCACCCCCCATCACCCCTCATCACCACTCCACATACTCACCATGTGCCGGTACCACGTGTAGCCGGGCCCGAGCCCAGCAGCTTCCAGGAAGCCGCGCTCAGCCAGCATGAGTCGGTCATTGATGTCCCTCAGAAGAAGAGGAAGAGGCATGTCAAGATGCACGCTGGGGGATACGCTCATCAATCTGCGCTGTGCCAATGCCACTCCTCCTTCTCCTTCTCCCCCTCCTCCGCCTACTCCTGATTCAACTCCTCCCGCTCGCTTTCCTTCTCCTACTGCTTCTCCTGCTGCTTCTCCTGCTGCTTCTCCTACTGCTTCTCCTGCTGCTTCTCCTGCTGCTTCTCCTACTGCTTCTCCTGCTGCTTCTCCTGCTGCAATAGCTTCTGCTCTCTGATTGGTGATCTCTGTCACTGCCGTCTCAAGCTGGCCAATGGCGTTCCAGATAGCATCCAGAGACACGTGCTGCTGCGCTGCGTGTGACTGTAACGAGGCCTGGAGCTCGTTGGTGTAATCCTGGGGAAAGGAGGGAGGTGTGAATGCAGGTTGAGATGGGTTCTTAAGGCGTCTCAAAGTAACGAGGCCTCCAGCTCGTTGGTGTAATCCGGGGGAAGGCAGAGGGGGGGGTAAATGCGGGGTGTGATGGGTGCATGAGAGCAGGGTTTTGAGACGTCTCAAAACACTTCTTCAAACACGGGGTGTGATGGGTGCATGAGAGCAGGGCCAGATGGGGTGTGACATGATACGTGGTGCTGTGCTGCATGTGACTGTAACGAAGCCTCCCACTCATTGGAGTAGACTGTATTCCAGGGGAAAGAGGCGGGTGAGAATGAGGGGTCAGATGGGGTGTGCCATGCCATGACACGTTCTGCTGTAAAAACGAGTGCATGAAAACGAGTGTGTGAGGGGAGTGTGCGTGGGCGTGTGTAGGGGTGCGTGGGTGCGTGGGTGCGTGGGTGTGTGTGTGTGTGTGTGTGTGTGTGTGTGTGAGTGTGCGTGGTGCGGGCATGTGCGACTATAACTGCGACTGCACCCACATGCACAAGGCTCAGCAGACGGGCTTGCGACCCACCTTGAGAGCCTGAGGTGACTTGTGACTGTTGAGTGGGTATCGCAAATCACCTTGACCCACTGCTGACTCAAAAGTCACCTCACATGGGCTTGCGACCCACCTTGAGCCTGAGGGCGTAAGTGGAGTAGTTGAAAGGGAGAGCCGCGTCTCCTGCTAGGCGCAGGGCAAGGGACTCCCACAGCTGGGCTGTGGCACAAAGTGACTTTTGAGTCGACTGAAAAGTCACAAGGGACCCCCACAGCTGGGCTGTGGCACGATGGCGGGTGAAGGGAGAACGCACACGCACCTTGAGCCTGAGGGCGTATGTGGAGAAGTTGAAAGGGAGCGCTGCGTCTCCTGCCAGGCGCAGAGTAAGAGCACCCCACAGCTGGGCTGAGGCGCGGTGGCGGGCGAAAAGAGGATCCAGGACGGTTGTCATGTAGTGGTAGTTGTCGTACAGGCTGTGATACATGGGGTAGTCTGGGGGTGTGGGAGTGGGTTGAGAGGGGTAAGGTGAGGTGAAAAGAGAGGGTCCAGGACGGTTGTCATGTAGTGGTAGTTGTCGTACAGGCTGTGATACATGGGGTAGTCTGGGGGTGTGGGAGTGGGTTGAGTGGGGTAAGGTGAGGTGAAAAGAGAGGGTCCAGGACGGTTGTCATGTAGTGGTAGTTGTCGTACAGGCTGTGATACATGGGGTAGTCTGGGGGTGTGGGAGTGGGTTGAGAGGGGTAAGGTGAGGTGAAAAGAGAGGGTCCAGGACTGTTGTCATGTAGTGGTAGTTGTCGTACAGGCTGTGATACATGGGGTAGTCTGGAGGGGTGGGAGTAGGTGGGATGGGATGAGGAGGGCAAGGAGCGGAACAATGATGCTCCCAAGATGGTGGTAGTTGTCGTACAGGCTGTGATACATGGGGCAGTCTGGGAGGGGGAGAAGGGAGGGGTGGGTGGTGGGAGGGTTGATGTGAGAGAGGGTCCAGTACAGTTGTCATGCAAGTATCACAAGTCTTGATCCTTTTGCTAAGCGTTTTCTCATAAGTTTGCTGCTACTCCCATCATGAACCTTGAAGGGAGGGGTGGGTGGTGGGAGGGATGATGTGAGCGAGGGTCTAGTACAGTTGTCATGCAGTGGTAGCTGTCGTACAGGCTGTGATACATGGGGTAGTCTGGGAGGGGGGTGATTGGGGCGTGACGGGGGGCATAGGCGGGATGGGGTGAGGAAGGAAAGAGAGGATCTAGGATGGTTGCTACTTAGTGGTGATATGAAAGTTGAGGGCGGTTAGTGAGAGGGATAAGTGAGGAGCGCAAAGAGAGGGGCGGGGACAGGGCCAGGAAGGCAAAGAGAGGGGCGGGGACAGGGCCAGGAAGGCAAAGGGAGTTATGAATGAGGAGGGCAATCAGTGGGGGCAATATCAAGCTGCTGTTAATAACTCGCGCTTAGACATTTCAATGGTCTTTGTGAGAAATCTCAGAAGTAGCTCCCTCATTCCGCACCTCCCCCTCAAGACCCACCTTCCCATCAGAACACACCTTCCCCAAAGTGCAGGTCAGCGGCGGCAATCCCAAGGTGCTGCAGGAACGGAGCATAGTCGCTGCCGCCGCCGCCCAGCCTGCCAAGCTGGTGGAAGATATGATATGATATGATACGATATGATATGATACGATATTATATGTGATATGATATGATATGATATGGTATGATATGGCATGATATGATATGATATGATATGATATGATATGATATGATATGATATGATATGATATGATATGATACCATACCATATTCTACACCATACAATACAATACGGTGCACAGCACAAAAACGAGGAGATGGAAGGAACAGCAAGTAACCCACCGGACTACTCACACATGACAGTATCAGCACCCACCACAGCCCACTACCAGCAGACTGACTCACATGGGGCACGGTGCGGTTGGTCCTCTCAGCCCACGAGGCATACACCGACTGGCCTTGCTGTGCTTTTAACAAGCCAACACACACCAATTTACCCACTCACAGCCCATAGCAGGCGACTCACACCCCACTCACAGGCTACTCACATAGGGCACAGTGCGGTTGGTCCTCTCAGCCCACGAGGCATACACCGACTGGCCTTGCTTGTCTGGATCCTCCACCTGTGCAATACAAAGACAAGGCGTGACTTCCCAAGACGAAGGGGCATGATGGGTTGCCTGAACCGGACGGTGCAAAAAAACACGAGACAGCCAAAAAAGACAAAACTAATGAAGCGCATAGAAAGCACGCACGCATGCACGCACGCACGCACGCACGCATGCGCGCACACTCACACACATACACCCCCCCCTCCCCCCCCAAAAAAAGAAGAAAAAAAGCGGAAAGCGCATGCAGAGGCACCTGCAGGTCTCACCAGCTCAGCTCAGCCATCTCTCTGATGACGTCATCCAGCGTGGAGTGGCAGCAGCACACAGCCCAGCACCCGACACGCTTCAACGATCCCAGCAGCACCACCACAAGTGCACGACCGCTTGCAAATCACTCACAAGCTCCTTTGAGTGGACTCTAAACTCACCAGCTCAGCAACCTCTCTGATGACGTCATCCAGCTGTGGAGTGGCAGCAGCATGAAAACCAGCGCCAGACACGGCGGTGTCGACGTTTATGTAAGCGACAGCGCGAGAGGAGAGCAGCGGGGCGTTGTCCTCCACCCACTCGGTTGACCCAATCTGGCGAGTGGGAGGGAGAATAGCGGAGGGAGAATGGCAGGGCGAGTGAGTGAGTGAGTTAATAAAGACAAGGGCATTGACAAGAGCAGTGGGGCGTTGTCCTCTCCACCCACCCTGTGGGCCCAATCTGACGAGTCGGAGTGATTGGTGGGAGGGAGGGTGAAGAGCTTTTGAAGATTCTTGAGAATCTCTTGAGTGGTCTCCACAAACCCACTCCTACGAGAGAATTGGGGTGTTGTCCTCCATCCACCCACTCTGAGTGAGTCGAGCTTTGAAAACTGTCCATCCCTCTTGATACCATGTGGCTCCTCCCTCTTGATACCATATGGCTCCTCCCTCTTGATACCATGTGGCTCCTCCCTCTTGATACCATGTGGCTCCTCCCTCTTGATACCATGTGGCTCCTCCCTCTTGATACCATGTGGCTCCTCCCTCTTGATACCATGTGGCTCCTCCCTCTTGATACCATGTGGCTCCTCCCTCTTGATACCATATGGCTCCTCCCTCTTGATACCATGTGGCTCCTCCCTCTTGATACCATGTGGCTCCTCCCTCTTGATACCATGTGGCTCCTCCCTCTTGATACCATGTGGCTCCTCCCTCTTGATACCATGTGGCTCCTCCCTCTTGATACCATGTGGCTCCTCCCTCTTGATACCATGTGGCTCCTCCCTCTTGATACCATGTGGCTCCTCCCTCTTGATACCATGTGGCTCCTCCCTCTTGATACCATGTGGCTCCTCCCTCTTGATACCATGTGGCTCCTCCCTCTTGATACCATGTGGCTCCTCCCTCTTGATACCATGTGGCTCCTCCCTCTTGATACCATGTGGCTCCTCCCTCTTGATACCATGTGGCTCCTCCCTCTTGATACCATGTGGCTCCTCCCTCTTGATACCATGTGGCTCCTCCCTCTTGATACCATGTGGCTCCTCCCTCTTGATACCATGTGGCTCCTCCCTCTTGATACCATATGGCTCCTCCCTCTTGATACCATGTGGCTCCTCCCTCTTGATACCATATGCCCCCTCCCTCCCCAGTCGTCACAGCCAGCCCCATCAGTCCCTCCCATCTATACCTCCTCATTCCCCACCCATGCTCACCAGTCCAAACTCCTCTGCATCCCACGAGCCAAAAACGATGGAGCGCGCAGGGCGCCACCCAGCAGCCAGCAATGACCCAAACGCGCGTGCCATCTGATGGGGGGGGTTAGTGGGGGAGGGATGGGTGGGGATCGGGGGGGGGGGTGGGGGGGGATGGTGGGGGATGGGAGGAGGGATCAAACACGATGGAGCGCGCAGGGCGCCACCCAGCAGCCAGCAATGACCCAAACGCGCGTGCCATCTGAAGGAGGAGGGGAGAGAAGCCAGCCAGGGGTGGAGAAAAGGTGTGGGGGAGGAAAGGTGTGGGGGAGGAAAGGTGTGGGGGAGAAAAGGTGTGGGGGAGGAAAGGTGTGGGGGAGGAAAGGTGTGGGGGAGGAAAGGTGTGGGGGAGGAAAGGTGTGTGGGAGGAAAGGTGTGTGGGAGGAAAGGTGTGTGGGAGGAAAGGTGTGTGGGAGGAAAGGTGTGTGGGAGGAAAGGTGGGTGGGAGGAAAGGTGTGGGGGGGGAAAGCAAGCACTGCAGGCAGCAGGCAGCAGGCAGCATGAACGCATGAACGCATGAGCATGCAATAGCATAGCTTCAAACATAGGGTGGTAGTCCCTCCCTACCTCGAGCATGCATGCCGTGCCACTGTTGGGGTCTGCAGCGCCAAACACCCACGCATCCCTGTGGTTACCCACCAGCACGTATCTGCACGTGCGGTGGGGCATAGGATAGGGGTATGGGACGTATGTAACAGACACGGAAGGGAGAGCATGGGACGTGGGTTGGGTTGGGGTCTGCAGCAACTAACACCCACGCGTCCCTGTGGTTCCCCACCAGCACGTATCTGCACGTGCGAGGGGAAGTGAAGGGGCACAGAGGGCATGGGGGACTTGGGTGGTGGGTGAGATCATGGGGCGTGCGTGCGTGCGGGGTACGAAACAGGTTTGTGTGTGATATGCGTCTGGCCAAAACAAGGACCACATGAGTTTGGCCAAAAGAATTACCAGATACACACGAGTCGTGATAACTTCACTTCAAAATTACCATGATGACCCACTCTCTTACTTGACCAAGCCAAAACACTCTCACGCATATCACCCTCGTCCCCATGTTGCCACGCCCCCACCCACCTGTGAGGTTCCGATTGGCCCTTGATCGACCCAATCACGTTGCGAATGCTAGTAACGGTGTCGTTCACCTGGATTGGGGTAGGAGAGATGGTTGTGGCGGGGGCGGGCGAGCAGATATTCACAACACTCTTATTTAATAATCCACAGCAGCAATTCTGGTCTGGGCAGGATGATGGGGAAAGCACGGGGAAAGAAAACAGGGCAAGGGGGGGGAAAGGGAAACTGGGGTATGGTTTGGATCATGGAGACATGATGGCAAGGGAGAGCAGGGGGCGAGGCGAAGCCAAGGGAGAAATGTTGCTGAAGAGGACTAATTTGAGCCAAGCCAACCACATCCACCCCTTTGATCTTTCCCTTCCACCCCGCTCATGCCTCAACACTCACAACCAGTATCTCCCTCACCTCTATTTCCATCTCCACCACTTCAGGCCCCGGCCCAGCCCAACACGGTACTCCACTAGCCCCTCAATCGCCCCAATCCACCCATCTACACCCCTCCTCACCACCATCCACCACATCTCACCTCTATTTCCATCTCCACCACTACAGGACCCGGTCCAACACGATACTCCAACCCTTCGATATCCCCAATCCATTCTTCTGGGGCAAAAGCACCCCCAAGCAGCTCCAGGATATAATTCGCCTGCCCGTACGACAGCGGCAGGGCGGGGATGGGCGGCAGGCTGCCGGCCACCTCGGATAAGGACAAGCGCTCGCCGCCCGGGCGGGAGGGCCAGCCTGGCGTCTGTGGGTCGCCGAGAGACTCGTAGATTGAGCCGCGCTGTTTCGGGGAAGCAGGGAGGGGGGTGGGGTTGGGTGGGGTGGGGAGTGTGGGGTTGGTTGGGGTTGGGAGGGGTGGGGAGTGTGGGGTTGGTTGGGGTTGGGAGGTTGGGAAGAGGAGTGTGGGGTTGGTTGGGGTTGGGAGGTTGGGCAGGCGAGACGGCCAGCCTGGCGCCTGTGGATCTCCGAGAGACTCGTAGATTGAGCCGGGTTGGGGGTGGGAGGGGGGGAAGGAGGGAAGTTCTCAAAAGCCAAGGACTCGTGGAATGCGTCACTCTTAAAAGCCAAGGTTCTCTTAAAATGCCCTGGAGAGGAGAGAAGACAGCAGAAATCTCACCTGATGACTTTTGAGTCGACTCAAAAGTCACTTGGGTTCTCAAAAGCCGAGGACTCGTGGAATGCGTCTCTAAAAATGCCCTGGAGCGGAGAGAAGACAGCAGAAATCTCACCTGGGCGCCAGAGGGTGGCAGGCCCGGGCCAGAGGGGTAGAGAGTGGTGCTGCCGTAGTCTGCTGGGTCGGAGTAGATTATTGCTGCCTTGGCGCCACACGCTGCTGCATTGCGCACCTGATGGTGAGGGAGGGGAGAAAGGGGAGAAAGGGGGGAAAGGGGGGAAAGGGGAGAAAGGGGGGAAAGGGGGGAAAGGGGGGAAAGGGCAAACAGGGTGAAGCGGTGCGAGAGAACTTTTGAGTCGACTCGAGAAGTAAACCAAAACCTGTAAAAGCAAAACATTCGTAACAATCAACCCCTAACCAAATCTCCAGCCCCCCACCTTGTCTCCTCTGTAGATCTTCCCATATCGCATCAGCACTATCGCTCCTGCACATGCCCCTTCGCCTCCCCCTCCACCTCCTCCCGCGCCTCCTCCCCTCTCCACCCCCCCTTTACCCCTCCCCTCTCCTCCTTCCCCCTCTCCTCCTCCCCCTCCTCCTTCCCCTCCTTTCCCGCTCCCTCCCTCTCGCAGCAGATCAATCAGCATCTGGAAATCCTCCTCTGTTCCATAGTTGGCATATATGACAGGTCCCCTCACACTTCCCCCTTCCTCATCGCCTCCTTCTCCTCCTCCTCCTCCTCCTCCTCCTCCTCTACCTCCTCCTCCTCCTCCTCCTCCTCCTCCTCCTCCTCCTCCTCCTCCTCCTCCTCCTCCTCCTCTCCCCTCTCCCCTTCCTCCCCTGCTCCTCCTCCCCTTCGTCCCGGGCGTGTAAGCCAGGAACGGCACCGAAGCCAGAGGGTCGTGGGAGTACGGGTCGCCAGGTACGGGAAGCTCCCGGAGCGACAGCTCGCGCGTGATTGGCTCAACGATCGCGAGGCGCTGCCTGATTGGCCGACTCAGAAGCACTGGGTAATCGGCGTAGTGGGCTGCGATGCCAAACGCCTGTGGGGTGAACACGGGGAGAGGGGGCGAGCACAGGGGGGGAGGGGGAGAGCAGCACTGGGTAATCGGCGTAATGGGCTGCGATGCCAAACGCCTGAGACAGGGAGGGGAAGGCGGAGGGGGAGAGGAGGGGGAAAGCGCAGGGGGGGAAATAGGGGCACAGGGGGGAAAGGGAGGGGAGAGGGAGAGAACTGAGGGAAGAAACGGGGATCATAGGCCGAAAAGATTGGGCGGGAAAGAATGCGCGGGAAAGAATGGGCGGGAAAGAATGGGCGGGAAAGAAAGGGCGGGAAAGAATGCGTGGGAAAGAATGGGCGGGAAAGAATGGGCGGGAAAGAATGGGCGGGAAAGAATGGGCGGGAAAGGATGGGCGGGAAAGAACGGGCGGGAAAGAATGGGCGGGAAAGAACGGGCGGGAAAGAATGGGCGGGAAAGCCAAGCTCGTTAGTGCAGAGCCGAAGCTATTAACTATAGTACGCCTAAAATAGCAGCTTAAAACGCGTGCGCGCGGCTCACCTCCAACTGTTCTTTCACGTATCGGGCAGTTTCAAAGTTTTCAGGGGTACCCGCAATGTGGGGACGTTTTGTGACCACTTTCAAAAACTCCGCTAAACTGTCATTCGATACAATTGCCATGAAATCCGCTATAGGAGCAGTGACAACGCCAGCTCCAGCAGAGGCTCCGGAATCCACGCCGAAAAACCCGGAACTGCTAGCGCAATCGCGTCCGTTCTCGCATAGCGGCGCGGGGCATATCCCAAGCCACGCCTTCGACCAATACCCAGGCGCCACGTGGATCCCCGCGATTAGAAGAACAACCGCGGCGAGAGCCAATCCGAGCCGAGAGAGAACACGAGGTATGTGAATCACGCGGCGTGGGGACGGAATTAAAGGCGCGGTAAGGGGGGACGAGCGGGACAAGGGGTTGCGGACAGCCATGGTGCTGAGGTTGCAGGGTATTTCTGAGAACTCTAAAAGTTACGAGCCTACGAGTCCTGAGCCTACGAGCCGTGAGCCTACGAGCGGCACACAACGGTAAGTTCTACAGTCTAAACGGGCAACTTCTTATCGAAACGAGCGCGCGTGCGCGCGCGCGCGCGGCGGTAGCTGGCTATAGTAACGCTCTGGGCGGCGAACCATCCCGAGCTTGAAATGGAGAAACGGGCTGCGCGGAGGAAGAACTAGACTAGTAGTACCTACATGGAGAAACGGGAGTGCCAAATAGTAGTATGCATGCCTACTAGAAATGCACACTACATTTGCCGCTGTCAGACGAAGGTATGCATTGGGAACTGCGGCTGCCTGGCGTGGCGGACAAAGTCCGAGCCAAAAACAGCAAGGGAATGGGTACAATAATGTTCTGTAGACCGTAGTACACTTGACTTATCACCCACCAGCATGTTTACATATAAACTTCAACAAGCACGAAATCCTACAAAGTAGGGATTGGATTAACACTGAATGGAGGTACCAGTACTGGTACTTGCTTCTTCACATGTACTGGTACTGCATAAATCTTGGAAAAGAAGCATGGAAAACTGAATGGTCTGGTGTGCTAGAGGCATGTGTGTATGTAGAGGGAGAGGTTACACACGGATACAAGCCTTCTGACTACTTCAAACACAATCATTCACAACTGTGCATTCAATTCAACATTGATTCCACAAGAAGCCCTTCTTTAACGCCTTATCTAAAAAGCAGGAACAGGGGCGGCGGCGGCAGGAGGGGGGGGGGGGCAGCAAAGGCATCGGGCACAGTGGCAGTTGTTGGGCTGAAAAAGCCCTAAGGATCTTTGCAGGGGTGAACTCTGGGTAGAGTTGGTGTAGTAGCGGAAGTGTTTAATAAAGAGTTGTGAACCACCTTGCGCTAGTATGTGAGGGCAAAGTAAGTTGATTAAAACAAAGAGATACAAGATTATATATGAATACAAGGATTATGAAAAGACACAGTTATTGTTAGAATGAGAACTACAGCGGAATGCGTTGTATTGACAGAATTGGGGTACATAACCTAACCCTAACTAGTTGTACCCCATATAGCCCAACCCACTACAGGCTATAATATTTGTCACACCCCCATAGCCTAAGTGGGGAAGGCCAATTAACAACAGGCAACCTACGGTCACAAGACCAGTCAAAAACAAGAGAAAGAAAACAAAGCTCAGGGTGGATCACAACGTCACCACCTAATCTGAGCACAAGCAAAGGGCCACAAGGCCAGTCCAAAAGTGTGCAAACAAATATATATAGATATATATAAGGTACAAGCAAGCAACAGACAAAGAGCACCCTACAACAGTCAACTAGACCCAGTCTCAACGAGGTCTAACTGCAGACAAAACCGACGGTGGTCACAAGGCTGGAGGGCCTTGGTGAAGATGTCTGTAGTGTTGGCCTCGGATGCCACAAAGTCCAGACGAGCCTGTCCGCGTCTCTGCAACTCTCGAAGGAGGAAGTACCTGACGTCGATGTGCTTCACTCGGCTCTCCAGTCGAGGCTCACGACACAGGAGAATCATCGCCCTGTTGTCAGCAAACAGGGTCGGTGCAGAGCTCGGCCGCTCACCAAGGTCAGTGAGAAAAAAGGTCAACCAGCGTAGCTCCTGAGCAGCAAGGGCCCCAGCGTAGATCTCGGCCTCTGCGGTAGAAGTCGCAACAGAGGAGGACCGAGTAGACCTCCACGAAACAGCTCCAGAACCCAGGTTGAAACAGTAACCCTGCGTAGACCTCTGAGTCTCAACGTCGTCAGCGTAGGAAGAGTCACAGTGACCGGTGAGTACAACTGGCTGTGTCCCTCCAAGTACAAGCCCCATGCCTGATGTCGCGCCAAGGTACTTCGCCACCCTCTTAGCCGCCGCCCAGTGAACAGGACGGTGTCTCCCAGTCGCAACAAAGCGAGACAGGATGCTAAGGGGGAAGGCGAGGTCCGGGCGAGTGCACGTCATCAGGTACATGAGGCAGCCCACCAGCTCTGCGTAGGGACCACTGGGCTCGAACGGCTCGTCAGGAAAAGGCCCAGTGAGTCTGTGGTCTACAGCAAGAGGAGTGGGGGCAGGAGAAGAGTCCTGAAGCCCGAACCGCTGAAGAACCTGCTGCACCATGTGTGACTGAGTGAGAGTGATGGTGCGAGCGGCTCTGTCCCTGGAGATCTGTAGGCCAAGGTAGCGGCGCAGTTCCCCAAGGTCAGTGCAGGTGTGTCTCTTCTGCAGTTCGGACTTCACCTCCGCCAGTGCAGCTGTGTCGGCCGTGGCAAAAACCAAGTCGTCAACGTAGACTAGGACGAAGAAAGGTGTACGACCACGACGAACAAACAGCGACGGGTCGGCGGAAGACGGCTCAAACCCGAGGTCGGAGAGAGTAGAGCGGAGAGTGTCGTGCCACTCACGGGGTGCCTGGCGGAGACCGTAGACCGGTCGTCTGAGGCTCCACTGGGTCCCAGGCGGGAAAGTGCCAGTGAAGCCCGGAGGACGACGTAGCCAGATCTCCTCGTGTAAGCAGCCCTGGAGGAAGGCAGTGGAGAAGTCAAGAGAGTGTAGCTCGTAGTCTCTCTGCGCTGCTACGTGCAGTAACACCCGAAGAGTGGTCATCTTCGGGGTGGACGTGAAGGTCTGAAAGAAGTCAACCCCCTCGCGCTGACTGAACCCTCTAGCCACGTAGCGTGCCTTGAAGACTGGGGGAGATCCCGGCGGCCGCTTCACCTTGAAGATCCACATGCCGTCAACAATGTTCGCCCCTGGGGGGGGAACCTCGTCAACGTAAGTGCCTGTGGACCTGTAGGAGGCCATCTCTGCGTCCATGGCAGCTCTCCACTGAGAGGCCCAAGGCCCTGACACTGCCTCAGCGTAAGTGCGAGGAGTAGGTATGTCAGGAGCGTCGGGGTCTCCCTCAGGAGTGAGCAGCATGGCACAGACATGAGGCGCGCTAGCGGGCGCGCTGGCGTGCGTGCTGGCGGGCGCGCTGGCGAGCTCGCTGGCGGGCGCGCTGGCAGGCGAGCCGGCGGGCTCGCTGGTGCGCCCGCTGGCGGGCGCGCTGGCGGGCTGGCGTGCAAGCGGGCTGGCGCGCAGGCTGGCTGGCGCGCTGGCTGGCTGGCGCGCTGGCGGGCTGGCGCGCTGGCTGGCTGGCACGCTGGCTGGCTGGCTGGCGCGCAGGCTGCTGGCGCGCTGGCTGGCTGGCGCGCTGGCTGGCTGGCTGGCGCGCTGGCGGGCTGGCGCGCTGGCTGGCTGGCGCGCTAGCTGCTGGCGCGCTGGCTGGCTGGCGCGCTGGCTGGCTGGCAGGCGCGCAGGCTGCTGGCGCGCTGGCTGGCTGGCGCGCTGACTGGCTGGCGGGCGCGCTGGCTAAGGGCGGGGAGGGGAGGGGCGCGCCGGCTGGGGCGTGGGGTAGGGCGTTGGCGGGCTGGCAGGGCGCAGTGGTAACCCTAGTGGTAGGGAAGGGCGGGCCTAGGACTAGGAGCGCTAACCTACTGCTGATACCATGTTAGAATGAGAACTACAGCGGAATGCGTTGTATTGACAGAATTGGGGTACATAACCTAACCCTAACTAGTTGTACCCCATATAGCCCAACCCACTACAGGCTATAATATTTGACAGTTATAACTACTTTACTGTTGCTGTTGCGGTTCGATACAGTGACGACTCAGGCAAATGCTCTGTAACGAGTCAGTTGTGTGTCCTTGCTGTCGCGCTGTATTTGTCAGGTCAAAAGTCGCTGACCTTTAACTTTCGCGTAATTTCCAGCGGTTACTTCAACCTCCGAGGGTTGACTTGCTAGTGCCTCGATATGCTTTTCTTCGCTTGTGCCTTAGTGTTTCGACACGACAGAGGCGCTTAGGAATGACTGTTTCCAACACTCCTCTTCGCTTCTGGAGTGTCGCTGACGTGGCTCTGTCCAGCCAGTAGCATGCAGTATTCAAACTTCTGCTTTCCGAGCTTCTTGGTCAGGTAGTCAGCTGCCATCTCGGACGTGGGGCAGTATGACAGCTCAAGCCTTCCTTTCTCGATCTCGTCCTTCACGAAGAAATATCGTAGGGCGATGTGTTTTGTCTTGTTCGCGAAGCCGTTCTTGTTGGCGATGCGAATTGCCGACTGGTTGTCGCAGAACAGGGTAAAGTTGTGTAACTCGGCTAACTTCGCTTCTTCCAGCAGCTCGCGAAGATAGAGTCCTTCCTTGGTGGTTGAGCAGAGTGCAATAGATTCTGCTTCAGCTGACGAGAGAGCAATTAGTTCTTGCTCGCTCGATTGCCAGGAGATAGGTCCGATAGGTTCGAGGCGGTAGATGTAGCCGGTGCGCGATCGTGTGTTGTTGGAGTCGCCCGCGTGATCTGCGTCGACGTAACTGATTAGCTTAGGCGTTGTAGTTGCGTTCTTATGGTAAGTCAGTCCGACCGTCAGGGTACTGACAAGGTAGTGAAGAGGGCGGTCGAGCTCCGACAAATGTTCCGCTTCAGGCTTCTTGAGGTAGGTGGCAAGCTGGCTTGCAGATTAGGATAGATCTGGGCGGCAGGTGACAGCTGCGAAGAGAAGGCAGCCCAGCTTTCTCTGGTAGTCGCGTATGCCGGCGGGCTTGAGTAGAGTGGAGCCTTCCTTGTTGCTTGCTGTCGTGTAGTGGTACGGTGTGGAGATAGCAGTCGGTGTGAGTGCGAAACGCTTGGCGATGGTGTCGGCGTATTTCGCGGCGCTGAGGTAGATAGCGTCTTCTTCTTCCCGGATGTTGAGGCCGAGGTACTGTGTGACGGTAGATGAGACCGTGAGTGTGAGGTCTTGCTGTAGCTCCCCTTCGAACCAGGTTGTAACGCCGTCAGTTGAGTCGATGTAGAGCTGATCGTCTACATAGACGATTAGCATTATGTAGTCGGTACCCTTCGTGAGCCGGTACATGCCCTGGTTGTGCGGCAATAGCTTGAAGCCGATGCGAATGAGGCGGGCGTGTAGGTATTGTTGCC